CAAAAATAAAAATCCTTGGTAAATGTATATTCAAGAATTTAATAAAACTTATGATAATTATTAAGTAACTTACAGTTAAGAGTTGGAGTGATGATGATGGCGGTGGTGGTGATGGTGATGGTGATACAAATAATTAAAAAAAGCAATGTGTTCTTGAAAGAAAGCAAAAGAGATTTCTTGGAAGCGGCAAAAGAGATTTCTTGGAAGCGGCAAAAGAGATTTCTTGGAAGTGGCAAAAGAGAAAAAAAAAATACTTCCAAGAAAAAAAAATGCTTCACCAAGAAAAAAAAATGCTTCACCAAGAAAAAAAAATGCTTCACCAAGAAAAAAAAATGCTTGACCAAGAAAAAAAAATGCTTCACCAAGAAACAAAGCTTTTTTTAAAGAATTCCATACCCATATTATTATTGTTGTTGTTGTTGTTGGTGTTGTTGGTGTTATTTATTATTATTATTATTAATATTGTTATTACATTATTTAATGTTTGGACGTTATAACGTTGTGGTTTAAAAAAAAATTTTTTGGTGGGAATAAAATTTTTAATGAAAATTAAAATTGTGGCTGCATAAATTTATTTTATTTTTATTTTTAAAATGAATCAACAGAGTGGCTGCAAGTGGCTGGAAGGCTAAAATATTAGTCACGGGTTCTAAATGTAGAAAATTTCAAATTAATCTGCCGCGTAAATAGAATGTTAGACAGTATATAAAGAGGAAGGTTTTGGAGGAAGAAAAGGGCAAGTTTGAAATAAATAAAAATCTATTCTTAACTATTGAATAAATCAACAAGTTCTCAAAATAATTAAATAAAATTTATATATACCATAAATTATAATTTATCTCTTGTGATCATATATATTATTGATTTCCCATATTCTCTTAACTATCCATAATCTTACCCTAACATTTTAATCTCCATTTTCCCTCTACAAAATATAAAAGTAAATTCATTCACCATAAAATGGATTCAAATCAAGAAAACTTATATCTAGCTGAAGATGAATTGATGGAATTAGATCAACAAACTTTTCAAGATGGTGAAGAAAACAGTGATGAAACTACAAGATGAAGAAATGGAAGAGATTAGGAAAAATTTACCAATTCTTAGTCAAGAGACAATAGTTGTACCAGTTAATGAGATAATACAGGAGGAAGCAAGTCCTTCTTCATAAATGAGTAAGAAACATAAAAAAACAGATGAGGAACTTGAATTCTTAAAGAGGTATTTGATCACACTGTAGATTTACCAAAGGATGTAGCAAAAAGATTATCTGAAGAGCTATTTAAATTATATAATTCATGGACATCCAGTAAAGTTAGAAATTACTAGTATGATAATGTGAAAAGAAAAAATAAATAAATTATGACATTAATATCACAAACCTTTTCCTCCTTCTTTAATGGTACATTGTTTGGTCATATAATCATTTGAATCAATTTTTTTATATCTAATTATTTTTAAATATGTAAACAAATAATCAATTTAATATTAATAATATTGACAAAAAAAAAAATTAACGTTGAATATATTCATTAGCATTAGTTTTCTTTTCATTATCTGTTCATTAAATTTTGAAATTGTCTTGTGTTTTTCTTATTTTTATTAATCCATACAATAAAAATAAATAAGCAAAAGTTTTAAATTTAAAGATTATTATCACCTATAATAATAATAATAAAAATTGATCAATTTATTAAATTGATAATAATTAATAATATTAAATCCAATATACTAAAATATTTTTCTTTGTAACCTTTTGAGTAAAGCCTTAATTAAATAATGCATTTTCATATTAATATATTGTCTAATCATTATTAATATTAATATAATAAAGTTAGAAAACAGTAATGCAAAAAAAAATTTGTTAAAAAGCTCTATATAATAATAAATAACTTATAAAACCGTTTTTTGCTTTTAATTTCTTCCTTCTCCAAGAAAACCATCCGAATCATATATTTTCTGAAAGCTCTTGATGTACTCCGTCTTATCATGCTAAAACGATCTCAATAGAGCTGATTTCCGAAAAGAATTAAGCTTCCGAAGTCAAAACCATAGGTTTCTTTGAGAGGCTATTACTCCATAACTGGAAGAGCTACAAACGCATAAAGCTTGCATTTTAAAGGTCAAAGGCAAGTGATTGTTTTTACTTAGAGGCATGAAAATTGTTTAATAATGAGTTTACGTTTAATTCATTCGTCAAAGTCCGTTGTACAGAAAACGTGCCATGTCGATCATATATTAAAATCAGTCACTGTGAAATGTCGTCCGACTAATAATGTTTATCATGTGGGAAAACAAGGCTGGAAATAGGGTCTGAAAAAAAAAAACGGAAATTTCTACTGAATATGAATTATTAGACTACTTTGTACATATGCATTAGATTGCCATAAGAGCAAAAAAAACTCGAGTTTTTGACCGTAAACAATTGATTGGTTAATTCAAATTCCAGTGAGCACTAATTGGTAAAAAACGCGTTTTATATAAATATGTAAATAAAACAGTCAATCTTGCATGAAAACGGCAGTGTGCCTATGATTTTTTTATTTTATTATTTTTTATTAGATATGGAGGGATAGGATGGATGATGTGTTGAAATGGAGTTAGTGCGGTCATCCGTTAAGTATTATATTAATTTTTTGTCATTTTGTTTTTCGTTATACACGAATCAATCATTTATATTCAACTGCTTCTTTTCATTATTATGTACATCCATCAAGAATGATGAAGTTTTCCACATCCATTTTTTGAATCTTTGATACATGTTGAATTTGTTAGATTCTATGCATATGTGATTTTTTATTATTAATATCATTAAATTAATAAATAAATAAATGATAATGTGATTGGCTAATTTTGATGCTCCGAACGAATGTGCTGACTGTATATTAATACAGTCAGGGATATTTCCATAGATGGAAATACTAAATACCGTAATGATCGATGGTATGAAAAATTCTAGAAGAA